AAATCTTTGATTTTTGTACGCCATGAGTCAAAGATGAAAGTGAAGAAATTGGATAATGACAACCTCAGAGAACACATAGGTCAGAGTGCAGATGAGACTGTTGAAACAGTAAAGGAATTCATATTCCTGGGTTCTAAAATGGATCAAAGTGATAACTGCAGCCCTGAGATCAGAAGGTATATAGCTCTTAAAAGAATTGCAATATCTGCCATGAATGACATCTGGAAGAGTAAAGACATCAGCCTTACAACCAAATGTAGATTAGTTAACACAATAATTTTTCCAATTACTACTTATGGCTGCAAAACTTGGCCTCTGAAAAAGGCAGATAGGAGAAGGTGGATGCCTTTGAACGGTGGTTCTGGAGGCCACTATTACACTTCCCATGGACTGCAAAAATAACAAAGAAGTCCTAGATCAGGGGTATCAAACTCAAGACCCAGGGGCCAGATCCAGCCCACTGGATGCTCAGATCTGGTTCGCGAGGCCTCCCTGGAAATAGCAAAGAACTGACCTGCAGTGCCTCTGCTAGTGAAAACAGAAATTGCAAGGGATGCATGCAGCCCTCCCGAGCTCCGTTGTCACTGGCACAGGGCTGCAGGAGGCCGTCCCAGCTGAAAATGGAGCTCGGGATCCTGTTTTTGCTGGCAGAGCACTGGGGATACCACAGGTGCCCCCCAACATAAGTGTCATCATGCTGGCGATGCCCACCCTGGCCACGCCAGTGGTAGGTTCCTACTGGTTCGGACCGTTTCAGCTGAACCGGTAGTGGTTTGGCTGCCTAGGTCACTGGAACTGGCAGCGACCCAGGCCTCCCACACCCCCGAATCGCATGCGCAGAACAATTTTCACTGTACAAATTTAAATTTTCATTTTTTAATGTTTTGCACATGTGCAGACCATTTATGTGCAAATGCGCAAGTGCACACAGAGCACAAAATTTTTGCATGCAACAAACTGGCAGTGTTGCCAACAGCAACTCACCCCTGGGCGACGCCCACCTGGGCATAAGCACTGAAGAGCTCAAATACAGGTAAGGAGTGCGGGCGGGCAGGTGGGCCCTCCAGAACACCGTACAGGAATGGTACCCAGTGCTCCCAGCAGGCATCAGTATGCCTGTACCAGGGCATACCGATCATAACCCACCACTGATGCAAGCAGCATTTCTGAGTTTTTCCATCATGTTTTACTCCATGTTGAACATAGGAGAGACTCTAACTTTGCAGCAAAATGCAGCAAAAAGGACATACTTCTCCCAGTTAGAAGGTATCCGCCTACTGATAAATTCAGCTGCTTTAAAAGATAAAAATGTTGTAGAAAAGATAAAACCTACGGATAGTTCATAGATTTCCCCAGACCTGAAAAAAATTAAGATGATGATCAGATTTCAGGATACCTCATTAAAAGTTAAAGATAATAGATCATTCTCCAAAAAGACTGAAAAGTAAAGCATGAAGAGAACATATAAGTGAATGAAAAGTTTAGCCTTTCTTGCTATACTAAATAGGAGGTGAAAGGAGGGGACAATAGCAGATTCCATTGGAATGAGTGGATAAAGCTATCTTAAACTTTTTTATGGTTTATATGTTGTAATAGCATAGTAATTCTTCCCCTATCCAACTTTTGGATCAAGTAAGTTTCCACTTTACCCAAGCTGTGAGATCATCTCATATTAATACATTATCCGTTTCAGAGTTATGAAGCTTAACTGGACTTTAGAATCTTTCCCAGTTATCAAAGTTCAATTGTGAAAGTATCAAAAGAAGTCCAATATTTGAACTGCAAAAACTAGGCGAATATATTTACATTTGAAAAGAAAAACACTTTCTAGAAGGCTTAAGCTCTCTCTCTCTCTTTCTCTCTCTCTCCCTCTCCCTCTCTCTCTCTCTCTCTATCCTCCTCCTTCTTACTCTCCCTCTCTCTCTCCTCTTTTTCAAAGATTAAAGCAGCCTGTTGGAAATAGCCCTCTCTTCAACAAAGCACAAACCTGCAGAAATATTTCAACATGAAAATCCTCATTTATTCATCAATGACAGTTCTTTAAGGATATTTCCTTAAAGAATTCCTTACAAAAATTGTTTCCATCTTCATCAACAAAGGAAAGCAACTTATTTCCTATACAGGAAATTTAAAAAGTAGGCTTTTTAGAGTACACTAATAAAATAATAATAATAATGCCGTGAAAGTGAAGGTACAAAAATCCACTGACAATCCAAACTGCCGATTTTGCAACGACAAAGTCGAAACTGTTTCACATTTAATATGTGAATGTAGCAAAATTGCACAAACTGATTACAAAGCTAGACATGACCAAGTTGCTAAATTAATCCACTGGTCATTATGTAAAGAAATATGATTTATCTGTATCCAAAAAGTCATGGGAACATAAAGTGGAAAAGATTATCGAAAATGAGGTGGTGAAGATCTTGTGGGATTTTTGAATACAGATGGATAGTCATTTGGAACACAACATGGCAGATATCACAGTTGTCGAAAACTGAAACATACAATTTATTGATATTGCAGTACCGGGAGACGACAGAGTCAAAGAAAAAGAACTGGGGAAAAAATCACAAAATATCGCAACCTGGCCATCGAAACTATGCGATTATGGATGAAACGTGTAACAGTGATACTCATTGTCATCAGGGCACTTTGTACCATGTCCAAGAATTTTATAAAATACATCAAGAAATTGCAGCTTCCTGCAATAACACCAGTGGAACTGCAAAAAAACTGTGCTACTCAGAACATCATACATCGTAAGAAGGTAATTGGTTGATACCTAGGACGCTGGCAGCAACCCATATCAACCATCAGTACCAGTCAATTGTATTTGTGATGCATTTTTTAATGTTCAGTTGACTGAGTTTCATGTTTAATAAATAAAAATTTATATAACAACAACAACAACAATGATAATAAATATCTGTGACATACAAAGCATATTTTCCTATGCAAAGAAACACTTGGAAAATGGAATGGAAACCTGACATACATGTTATCAAATACCTTAGTTAGTAATTACATCTATGTTTCCACCACTTGTATTCTCAGGTTTTTTTCAACCAAGACCACGAGGGTACAGCTTGCCTTTCTTCACCCATGAAAGGATATTCCTTACCACTGGGGAAACCTTTTTGGATGATGGATAAGATACATATCATACTGAATGTTGGAGGCCATTTGTAATAGAGATATGGGGAAGATGGATGCATTTATCAAATCAAAACATCATTTCTCCTATACTGCTAATCTATTCTCTCATCGTATCCAGTCATTTAAGATTGAAAAGTGGGAGCAGCTGGAAAGAGAAAGATAATAACTGAGTTGAAACTGACATTAATATTTTATGGGGAAAGACAACCCAGAACAAGACAAATGAGACTTGGCAGGAAAGAACCCTAACAAGAAAATTCAGCAAGGTTTAGATATAAAAGCACAACTGAGATTTCCCCCAAAACTGTGTAATAGTCCAGGGTGTATAACTAAGAAAGGGGTAAGAGCAACAAACCTATTTCATGGGGTACTATTTAAATTTATGTAATAATTACATAAATTACATTAATTAAAAAACAAAGAGAAGATTAGCAGGAGACAGTGAAAGGACAGAGTCCTCTGGGATTGGGCGGCCTACAAATCAAATAAATGAAATGAAATGAAATATTTTAATAAAACTTATCCTGTCAGGAACACAACATAGCTATAATCTAACCATCTCACTTCATCCTCACAATCACTGGATAAAGTTGAAAAATTGAGGGCCAAGATCCCAAATCTTTGGGTCGGTCACTAATTTGCAGATCTTACAATGAAAGATGGAAGAAGGGCTGGCTGGGGAATTCTGGGAGTTGAAGTCAAGACATCTTCAAGTTGCCAAGGTTGAGAAACAATGTTGTAATGCATGGTGAGCAGAGGGATGCAAGCTTTGCCGGACCAGGAATTATACATGACTTTTAAGTAGCATGAAGAAGAGAGGGAGGCAAGAAAAAAAAACCCCAGCCATATGGGAAAATTTTGTTTGGATGTAAGCGACAAATTAAAACTGATTTTGTCTAGATTTAAATAGCATGATATTACATTAAGTATATTAGAACTCTTCTACATGGATTTAATAATTCCCCCTTTTATTATGTTAAAACAAACTCATTAGAACACCTTGAGAAAGTCAGGTTTTACCAGCTTGATATTTACAAATAAGCGGTAATTGAATTATTGGGGAAGTTAATTAGTTACATCAGTCTCTTTTACAGTGAAGCATTGTCTTCCATAATGAATTATAAAATACCTCATGCCTCATTGAATTGTAGCTTACTATAAATTTTGTGAAAGGGACATGCGGTAGCTCAGTGGCTAAGACGCTCAGCTTCTCAATCAGAAAGGTCAGCAGTTCGGTGATTTGAATCCCTAGCACTGCATAACGGAGTGAGCTCCCGTTACTTGTCCCAACTTCTGCCAACTTAGCAGTTTGAAAGCCTGTAAAAATGCAAGTAGAAAAATAGGAACCACTGGTGGGAAGGTACAGTGTTCCGTGCACCTTTGGCATTTAGTCATGCCGGCCACATGACCATGGAGACCTCTTCAGACAGCGCTGGCTCTTCGGCTTTGAAACGGAGATGAGCACCACCCCCTAGAGTTGGGAACGACTAGCACATATGTGTGAGGGGAACCTTTACCTTATACATTTTGTAAGAGAAGGCTAACAAGGTAGCACTTGCTCACATATATTGAATACAAACAAATAAAAGAATGCACAAGCTGCACTATTTTCACTACACAACTTAGACAATACAGTGAAATGCTTTCTCTTTAAAACAAGTCTTGCGGCTCAGCTAATGCACCTCACTAAAAAGTTCCTCTGTTTCCAAAACAATCGCTAGCAATGTAAATAAATAAAAAATAGGCAGTAACACTCCCCAATTGCTACCAAATGATACAGGTATTAAAATGGTTACAGTTTAGTAACTCACTCCCAGTATTTGCCATTCAGTTCATCTTACCTGGAGTAGTTAACCCAACCTCAGCAGTTTGTGGACTTTGAAAGAAGCATGAGATTGAATTCAACAGGTAACTAAGTACGGATACTGCTCCACCCACTGCAGCCTGGTGCTTCCTGTTTTCCTCATACCTGAGCAGGTGGGAGGAGCCTCTACTGCAAGCATCACTAGTGTGTTGCAATCAGAGCTTCTGGAATAGTGAGAAACCTACTTAGGCTTTCTTTCATCATAAATCTATCTGACTGCATACGTTTCAGCTTGTTGTCACTTTAATTCACTTTGTTCTGCTCTTTTCATGCATAAGGTAATGATCAGATCTGAACTGGTTAGGAAGGGATTCCGGATTGTTCAAATGACTATTGATTGGTAATGGGTTTAGCAATGCAGTTTCAAGAAACAGGTTTTTTTCTAAACAAATAAGTTCACCAGTGATAGCAAATAGGCTTTTAACCATTAGATGCCTTGAAAATTGCTTTTAGAGGTAAAAAAGTGCAATTTGTTCAGATTTACTTTTAAAAACAACTCTCACTTGAGTTCAGTGGGAGTAGCTTCCTTATAAACAGGACAGGGTAGTTGCCAAAGTATTGAGGGAAAAAACTGTTTAAATTTTTGGGAATTATATTGTGTATGACACGTTTGTACGTGGGGAAATGAAAGAATCATGTTTGTGTAGTATTAAAAATGAAAGTTATAGTTTTTTTAAATCTTTGGAACGTTTACAGCTGTAAAAAGCAGTGTGCTGAACCAGAAACCTTGGCTTAAAAGCAGAAATGGCCAGGATGGCGTTGCAATATGCCCTTTACCACATCTCCTGTTTAGTCTAGATTAGTGTTTCTCAGCCTTCTTTAAGGCATTTGGGTTTCAGCTCCTAGTATTCTTCAGCCAGCATGGGGGGGGGGGGGATGGAATTCCTGGGAGTTGAAGTCCACACATCTTCAGGTGACCAAGGTTGAGAAACACTGGTCTAGATTCAAAATACTGATACTACCTGACTTCATACTAGAGGATAAACTCTCCTAGCAGTGTCATACAGCTATTAAATAAGAGGGCTAAGTGTTGAGTCTGGGACACACCACAACATAGGCACCAAGTATAACCTTCAGACATGCCCTAAATGCTGTCCCTAACTTCAAGGAGGAGAACCTTGAAAAACACTGCTTCTCACTCCTGATCCTTGGACAAGTTTAGTAGGATATGTTGTGTTGGTCGTGTAGTAAAAAAGCTTCCATGTATACTCATAGAGAAGCTGAGAATGTTAAATACCACAATGCACCTAAACAGCCTATCCATGAATATATACTTTTTAAAATACCATGTTTCCCATATATATTTGTGAGTCAGCTCATCTGCTGAAAAGCAAACCAAAATGTGGGTTGGTTTATCTGTGGGTGCACATTTTCTATATTTTTTTGCAGGGATCTCCAAACTTGGCAAGTTTAAGACTTGTGGACTTCAACTTCCAGAATTCCCAAGCCAGCATGGAGTCAGTATTATTTGGGCAGGTTTCCCACTTCTGAATATGGGTATGTAGTAGATGTATCCCTCTAAATATTGTGAGCATACGAGTTGGACTTAATGATATCATGCCTGACATCTGGGATTTAACATTTTATTTATTTTTCAGTGCAATATACCATATAATTTGGCAATTTTTTCCCAATATGCTATGTACCACATTGTATACAGAAGATGGAGCTTCATCATGGCTGCCATCTTGACTTCTTTGACTATCTCCTGTGAAGCATAATAAATAATAAATTCTGAATTTTAAAATAAATGATGCCTTTAAAGGATTGCACATTCATTTTGGTCATATTTATTCAAAAGCAAGCACAGTTTACTCAATGAAATGCTTCCTTCCTTTAAACATTTTTTTTCACATAAAATGGCTCTGCAACTAGAGTGATTTGCAAGCTATAGAGCAGTGTTTCTAAACCTTGGCAACTTTAAGTGTGAACTTCAACTCCCAGAATTCCCCAGCCAGCATTGCATACTGGGAATTGAAGTTCACGCAACTTAAAGTTGCTGAAGTTGAGAAACATTACTATAAAGAAAACAAAAAGCATATTTGGGTATTTTATTGCTCTTTCCTAGTCAGATTATTTCGTATTCATTACACAGTTGTATTTTGTGTCTTTAATATGCTTAAATTCTGTTTCTTCCAACAGATTTTCTTGCTGTGAGGAAAAAAAAATCGGTGTAGCAGAACCAAAGTACAGCTTGACTATTGATGTATCTTGCTGGGGTCTGGAGACTTTATAAAGTTCTATCATGTGGTGAAAGTTTGCCATGAACTATGAGGAGGGTGGATGGAAGGGTGGGTTGCTTGGTTCCACCACAAAACCGCGGTAGACTAAAGCGCGTGTGACTAAAGCGCGGTGACAAAACNTTGCCTCCAGAAGTTGTGAATGCCCCAACACTGGAAGTCTTTAAAACGATGTTGGATAGCCATTTGTTTGAAATGGTGTAGGGTTTCCTGCCTAGGCAGGGGGTTGGACTAGAAGACCTCCAAGGTCCCTTCCAATTCTGCTATTGTATTGTATAAAATATTTATTTATCTATTATTAAACTTCTATGCTGTTCACCTTGCCAAGGCGATTCTCACTGAGATATGTGGATTTCAATTCCCAACTAAGCCCACATGGACCAATTTATGGAAATCATGGGGAACAATGGCTGCTAACCTTAATGGCAGTGTGAAAACTATCTCCTGGGAGACTTCCTTGTACTGTTGGTCAGAAAAGACTGATGGATTTTGAAGGGCCAGGGCTCCAATCCAGCAGAGAACTGCTTAAGATCTTACGTAGGCACAGTGTCTTTTGATCAATAGCACATCTTTCTCTAACCTCTGGATAAATTGACCAAAGCTTTTTCTTGCTGGGTAGGAATTTTGGGAATTAGAATTCTAAAAAATATGAAAAGTCTCTTTGCTGTCATCTTATGGTCGTTCACATTTGGCACTTCAGATCTGAAATGGCTATTTTATAAAGTACTATAACTGGGAGTTCCCCAGGTATTTATTTATAGGGGGAAAATGTTCGGACCAAATGTAATTTCTAATGTTGGATTTTTCCCCTTGCCAGAGGGAGCCCCCTTGTGGAATAATGTGAAGCCATTACCATGACAACTCCACTACACTGTACAGTAGAAGTCATTTTAAGGCACAACAGGCTCTATCTTAACAGAGCACACAACTCAAGGAGTTTTAGGGGTGTTTTACCCCTCCAGTATTTGTTTCCAGAGAGTAAGTCATCTGTGTACCAAGTTTGGTTGAAATTGCTAGAGGTGTTCCAAAGTTATGCTGGAACCTACACACACAGCCATAGAAAGAAAGAAGGGAGGGAGGGAGGGAGGAAGGAAGGAAGGAAGGAAGGAAGGAAGGAAGATTGAACGGATATGCCTTACTGGTTACATCATCCCCTAGCAGGGTTTGCGTAACACAGAACGAAAGTAGAATTTGGCTGGCTATGGCTGATGTGTGATACAAACCCGGCTGTTGAAATTCATTCAGTAAATCGCTATTAATCTCAGAGGCGCAAACATAGCAGCTCGAAAGGCTTTGCTTTTAAAATCTTGGGGACGAGAGTTGCCGGGTTTAATTTAATCGGAATTGTTTTGCCAAGTGGAGCTCGGCTGGATAGCGCTGCCCTTCTCCACGGAGACTTGTACGATACTTGCCGGGCTGCTTCTACGATTTCTGCCCACTTCCTGCCACGCCTGGGGAGGGCATGCCTTTAGGACAGAGGTCTTCAAACTTGGCAACTTTAAGACTTGTGGACTTCAACTCCCAGAATTCTCCAGCCAGCTGGAGAATTAAAGTTGCCAAGTTTGGGGACCCCTGCTTTAGCACGAACCCTCCGTTTAATATTTGCGCTCTGTTAATTATAAGGAATAGAGAAATTGGGGAAAAAAGGTGGCGAGAATAAACGCGCAAAAACTGCGCCAACAGAAGAAAAATCCGCCCGAGAAAAGAAAGAGAAACAAACAAACAATTTATCAAAAGGGAACACTAAAAAAAGAAAAAAACCCTCGTTAGCGTCAGTCGAACGAACTCCCCAAGCCTGTCCTGACACCCGGGCGCATGCGTACGGCTGATTACGTCACTCCCACTTCGGCTTCGACTCCCCCTTCATTTCGTCATTCTGTGTTGCAAGCCGGGTGCTGATTTCCTTGTTTGCTGCGCTCGCCCGCGCTGGTTTTTTTCTTCTTCTCACTCTCTCTCCCCCCCCNCTTTCTTTTGGGTGGGGAAAACCTGGAAACTTTCAGATCCGGGTTTTCCAAGATGTGCCAGTATGACATCTCTAATAAAATGGAATTTTGAAGAAGCTCAAGCCTCGGAGTCTTCTTTCTTTAGGGGTGTTATTTGGAACCCCGACATCAGACATAGGAAAATGTGTGGTAGTACTTCCAAGAAGCTTCCCAGAAGATAGAAGAAAGACAAGCAGAAAGGATTGAGGTAGAGAACGTTTCAGTATAGGATTCCAGAGCACAACTGTTGGTGATGTATCTGTATCTTTGGTAGAAGAGATGACATGGAAGGCTCATAGACTAAGAAAGAATACACTGCAGGTTCTGTGAAGGGAAGGATTCCTGCATATGGTCCAAAGATGCAATAAGTTGTGATGATTGGAAACTTCCAATAAGAGGGTCTGAAAGAACCATCAGTGGGCAGACTGCCTATACCAGTGATAGCAAACCTTTTTGGCACCGAACGCCCAAACGGCAACATGCGCATGTGCATGCATGCATGCATACACGTGCCAGAGTGCTGGAAACCAGAAGACCAGCTGGCCACTGAGCATGCATGTGTTGTCCACCTGGTCTTTGGGTTCCTGGAACGTGCATGCATACCAGACAGCTGAACTTTGCACATGCACACCGACCAGCTGGTCTTTGGGTTTCTGGTGCTCCAGCATATATAAAGACCAGCTGGTCGGTGTGCATGCACGCACCAGAAACCAGAAGAGCAATTGGCAATGGTGTGCATGCCCACAGAGAGGACTTTGTGTGCCACCTCTGGCATGCTATGTGTTCATCATCACAGACCTATGCTGTATATAGCCGTGATAGTGAACCTATGGCAC